TCTGTCTCATCATTTCCCTGTTTTGCAGGTTTGTAACCGGTAAAACTATATTAAAACGGTTGTAAAATATTGATAAGAAACACAGCTAAATGTGAGGGTATAAATCAGCGGGTAAACCCTGTTATTTGTTACGTTTTATGAAGTAGAAGGACTAGAAAAAAATGCCAAAGCCTAGCCAGCCGCGGGCGCCATTTGGTTTCCTTTCTCCACTTATTTCAGGTCGTTTTAGCTGAATAAGCTCCTTGTCGTGTCCTGATTTTGTGAATATGAATGTTAATCTGCTGTTGGCAGTGAAGAACGACTGTTTACTGGTTCTGAAAAGTGATTTTGAGAATGTTATAGCTAAAGCTAAGCCTGCCAGCATACACATGACTCTTTCATGTATTTGTGAGCTACTAAGCTAAATTGGTTTAAGACCAAGCACTGGTATGTTGGTTAAAACAATCAGAATACATAGGTATTTGGGTTAAGAGTTAGAGGTAAAAATGTATTTGAACATGCATTTCATATTGTTTTGAGTTGTCATTCAGAGAGAATAACCGAGTAAATGATTTGAAGGTCACTACACGTGAAGTACTCTTGTTTCCCATGAAAAGATCGTGGTATTGCAGCTTGAACATACAGACGGTTTTATTGTTATTTCTGTTGCATAATAGAGAATGGTGATGCTGCAAGTTAAAAATACATGTGATTGTATAAATAAATATGGCAGAAGCGAGGCAAAGAGAAACTTCACCAGTCGTCTCTGTCTCATCATTTCCCTGTTTTGCAGGAACATTTAATCTGTTTTACCGGCCCAAACTCTGGGTCGGTTACAGTAGCTAGAAAACATGGTTGAAATCTCAATATTATCTTCCTGTTATATATCGACGTCCTTTCTGCCATATTTGTCCTATACGTCAAATAATCCCAAAGAAGCAATTAAACATATTTATCTTTTGCTTTCTTTTGCTAGAAAGTCTGAAAAGGACATCTAGAAGTACCAATGTTGATGCATTTTCTAAAATCTTTGGATTTATTTTTCAACCATAACTAGAGATCGAGAAAAACCCACAGGTGGGCGGATATTCAACGTTGAAATGTTTGAACAAATGTCTATTGAAATGATTAAATACAGGAACAGGAGAAGTATAGATATGATAGTTCACATACAGTATAAAAAACCAACCACAGCATCAGCGCAACCTGCACAACCTCTATAAGCAAACACTGAAAATAATAATAATAACACTATAATAGTACAAAGTACATTTCTACATTTTTTGTAACATGTCTAACTTTTGTTTAATGTATAAGATTATCCAGAGGAGGGGAATATCTCAGTTTAGTTATGAATTACCCCCCGAAAAAAAAATCTTCCAAATAGAAAGCCAGGGCAGGGTTAGGGTTAGCACCTATGACGTCATAGTAGGACTCAAATGGTTAACACGGCTGTTTACTGGAGATCTCGTTTAACCTCCTAGGACCTGCGTGAATGTCCTCATATGTGCATCTAGTTTTCTCAGAAACAAAAATCAGGTAAAAAAAAAAAAATCTGGTTATTCTTTGTTTTTACATTCATCAGGTCCCAATCAGCCTAAACCCAGACCCGCACTACCAGACACAGGGACAGTTTTTACCCACGAGCCTTTTGAACCGCTGACATTCCACACACACCTCTACAATTACAGGACTGCACACGGTCACTTACACAAATGCTACTTAAATGCTCACTGCACAACTTTGTACAAGCTGTAAATACTCTTGCACAAACTTATAAATACCAACTTGTCTTAAATGTAAATACCAACTAAATTCTGTAATATTTAATACTTTTTCCTCTCATTATTATTATTATTATTATTATTATTACCACTGCTAATTTCTGTTATTTTCTTCTGTAAATAACTGCACACTCTCTATATGCTCATGTAAAGCTGAGGACTTTCATTGGATAAATGTGGCTGCACTGTTTATCTGTACATGACCATAAAACTTGAAATAGCAAAGAGAAATTAAAAATGAATGTTTAGAAAAAAATATCAATGGAAAATGCAACACAAAGCAACACTGAGACATTGTTAAAAGAGTTGCTATGAAAAGCAGCCACGATGGTGCGAAACATATTTGTGTGATTGAAGTGAGTCCAGGTCATGAAATTGTAGCTCGATTTGTAGCTGATCATGTAAAGAGGCCTGTGAAAGACTCCAGATAGAGACATGAATCCTGCCTCTTAGTACCTCTGTGCCCTTGCACACAAACACACCTAATATGTCTATCGCAGTAGATTTACTCCCACCTGATATAAAACCACAGACCTTTCCAGCTACGCCTGACCTCCTGCTGAATTTCTCCAAGCAGATGTTCTTGAACCCTCACAGCACATAGGCAGGATGATGCCTTATAATTATAGATATAAACAGATTGTGCACATGGTTTAACCTGCCATGGGTGATAAATTGCAGCTCGGTCTTGCTGTATAAACTGCCAATGCCAGAATAGAGTCCTCTCGGCTACAGAGGGTCAGCTGCAAGAGGAGGATTTAATGAGGAGGGCCACCCAAACAGTCTGGGTGTCCATCTGTTTGCTCTCTCTGCTTTTACATGTCACACATCTTATGACGGCGGCAGCAGCGCTGGACCAGCGGGGCTGCTCAGAAAGGTGTAAATGCATCACCAAAAAGTGCACTTTCACTGAAAACGGGGAGAGTGAAAAACAAACAAAAACCTTTCAAGACTAAAACAAGAAGATCAAGACCTTTAAAAGCCAGGAACTAAAAAAAACCTCCATTTTTACACTGACAAGGTTGCCAGCATACCTGTTAACCATGGAGGCTTTATTTGTTGTACACTGTGCTGCATGCACACATGCAGTGTCTGCTTGTAGGCAGAGAACAGAAAAGCAGTTTAAATAGTTTTATTAGCTTTAGTGTGGCGAACGTTGTGATTTATGGTTTGAATTTAAGCAGAAAAACTACAAATAATTAAATTATCAAGAAAACATTTTGATTTTTGTTCAAGGATCACATTTTCACTAACTGTTAAAAATTCCCAGCATTCAGGACTACTGCTGCGTAATGATTCAACTGAAAAACTGTAACTAGGTTTAACAGCTTACTTGTTTAAGAATATTGATCATTACAAATAATTACCAACAACTCTCATTCAACAATAAACAAAGGGAAAAGACTCCTACAACCAGCTGTAGGCAACACGCCCAGCTAAGCTTTGGTTAATATTTTGGCACAGTTGAGTTCTGATAGGTGTCATAATGTCTTACAGAAAGGTATCCATGTGTCCCCAGACACCGCTTATACTTAAACCCTGTGTTTCTCTTATCACTGTAGATCAAACATTTATATTTGTAGCTACTAGGTAACAGCTTACACTACAGTTACAATCAGTGTTGGGAAGGTTACTTTTAAAATGTATTCCATTACAGAATACAGATTACATGCCCCAAAATGTATTCTGTAACGTATTCTGTTACGTTACTCAATGACAGTAACGTATTCTGAATACTTTGGATTACTTAATATATTATCATGCTGTTTACAACAACATGAATGTACTATTGCTGTGATTTATTACTATTACTGAAGGTCTGCGACTCCGAACTGTAGTAAAGGGACCTCTGACTAATACTGGGTCACTGTCGGCTCGTAGCCGAAAAATAGCTTTACTTTGTTGTGTGGGTCAACTTTTCTTGCAAGAGACAGAGAGAGGCGTTGAAAGGCTGCTCCAATGGAACTTATTGTTTTCGGAGGAAAACACGAACATGGTGTACAGTCGAGTCTTAATAGCTTATTTACAGCTGGGCTCGTCAGGCTCTCTGTTTGGCTGCAGTGGTTATTATTATATTTACATGCTTCCAGCTCCCGTTTTTCCTCGATGACAACTCGTACCTTTCCACTCCCCTTTTTCTCCCTCCTCGCGCTCACAGACCCATAACGTGTATGGCAGTCCATTCTCCCTGCAGCACGGACTACACTACCCATGATGCTACATTCTTTAGAGCTATGCTTGTAGCATTCTGCCTGTTAGCTTAGCACAACAACAACAACAACAAAAAGGCCTCTCTCACCTAGGAAACACACAGTCGCAGAGAGAGAGAGAGAGCGTCGCCCTGTAACCATGGCAACCGTAGCGCTGCCGCCTGGAACAACAGAACGTAGCTGTCAAACAAAACCCAAACAGTCCTGACCCGCGACAAAATGAAACAGGAAAGTACCGCAGTGTAATCCATTTATTTCAACAAAGTAACTGTATTCTGAATACCACCTTTTTAAACGGTAACTGTAACGGAATACAGTTACTCATATTTTGTATTTTAAATACGTAACGGCGGTACATGTATTCCGTTACTCCCCAACACTGGTTACAATTAGTCTCAAATCATCAGCCCTTTTCATTTGCATGAAAACAGAATTTAGTCATAGTTTGAACTGGTCTGACCAAGAATTTGATGTTGAAGTGTCCTGTGGATGTCACATCACATGGCTGATTTTCTACAGTGAAATGTCTGTTGATGAGAACCACAGATACTATAATAGATGGACCTTTCCATTACGCCCTCACCCGGAGGTTTTTAACTCTACACCCTGAATCTTCAGCATTAACTATGTTAATGTTGTTTTTTCTTTGGAGCCAAAAGTCACATTATATGGATGACAGGCTGCAGCGCTAAGTAATCAGTCAAGGCTTGCTAGCACCTGTCAGGGTTAATGTGTTGCAAACCTGTCAGCTAACAGCCACAACTCTAACTCGGTTAATATGTGTTATAATTACTCCTGCTCAGAGGTGTTATGAAGCAGGAAAATATCTATGGAGACCAAAACCATTGTTAATACCAGCTTTGAATTAAAAGTTCATTAATGTTGTAAAGCTCAGTGTGGGAGTCTTATGGGAACTGACTCCATTTTCGAGCAAGCCTCAAGTGACATCTAGAGAAGTCGGTGCCTCAAATTCGTTGTTGCTCCTCAAAACAATTCTGAACTTTTTGCTTCGTGGCAGGGTGCGCTATCCTGCTGAAAGAAGCCACAGCCATCTGGGAACGATGTACGTGCTCTGCAACAATGCTTAGGTAGGTGATACGTGTCATAGCAACATCCACATCAATGACCCAAGGCTTCCCAGCAGAACATTGACCAAAGCATCACACTGCCTCCCCTGGCTTGCCATCCTGATGCCAGGTGTTCCCCAGGTGACCCACAGGTATTTGTCATTTATTGGAACCAACATTCATTTTTCAGGCAGTTTGACCCTGTCACAACTGTTCCTTTCACTTTTGATAGATACGGACCATCGCAGACAGGAAGCCCCCCAAGAGCTGCAGTTGTGGAGTTGTGCTGACCCAGTCGTCTAACCATCACAGTCTGTCCTTGACGTTTGCCCAGTTTTCCTCCTTCTAACACACTAACAGGAGCCATGCTGAAGAGATAATCAGTGCACATTAGCTGTTATTGGTCGTGATGTTTTGCCCGATCGGTGTTTTACCAGAACCAGCATACAAATTTAAATAAAATGTCCTACTTGCAGTAACGGGTTCAGCGAGTTTGAAGGCAAATGCACACATGATTGCAATTCACTGGCACAACCATTTATTTTTGTTTGTTTGTTTGCCAGCTGGCACGAGGATCTTATAATATATACTAATCACAATCGGCCAGCAAATCTAATATTGCTTTTTTGCATGAAAGCCTGACAGAAATCAACACATTCTGTTACAACCTGAACCTTCCCCAAATATTTGATTTGTTCAGCTATTCGAGGTTTTAACATCTGAGAGTCATTTCTCGACAGACGGTGATTCTTCACTTTTCCACGTTGTTAACAGATGTCTTTTCACAATAATGAGACAGTTCGGCAGTCTGTTTGTTTATGTGAGACGAAAAAAAGACCAAAAGTTAAACAGCAAACAGTATTTCTTAAGAACAACTGAGTGAAGAGGGAGATGAGCGACTGTGATGATAATTAATTGCGTATGTCTGTACATTTGGGGAGCGTCATCATGAAGTGTTATTCTTTAAGTATTTTCTGTGATATATTAGAGATTTTAAAAATGCAACTGCCAACAGTATTTCATGAGGAGGAGCAAAGAAACAACAAAGACGGAAATGATTTTGGACTCAGAGCAGCCACTGCTGATCATAACCAGCTTAGAATAGAATAGAATTCAACTTTATTGTCATTGCACATGCACAGGTACAGGGCAACGAAATGCAGTTTGCATCCATCCAGAAGTGCTTTAGTGATATAGATATATTACAATATATATTAGCAATAATATAGATATGTGAGTATATTACAGAAATGGGTCTATTATGGTATGTTATAATGTACATGGTATGAAGTATGTTGTGAATATTCTATAACTATAAGTATGTACAGGCTGTAGTGAGTACAAGCTATGTACAGGTTATGAACAGGATATAAATATGAAAAACTATACAGAATATGAAATAAATAACTTTACAGAATCTGAGATATACAGCTATACAGAAATGGGAACTATGCAAGTTGTAAACAGTTGTAGGGTTAAAAATTATCGTATGTACAGAATGATTATTACAGAGCTATACAGTAGTGCAGTTAAGATAAGTGAGATATGTGGATAATTTCTACAGAGGTATATAAAGTGCTAGTGGTTGTGAGTGGTGGTTCACTCCATGTTATTATTGTGTGTTTGAGGGTACAGTTGTCCATTGTGGGTGTGTGTATGTTCAGTCCATGAGTTAACGTGGGTCAGATGTCAGGAGGCAGAGTTCAGGAGTCTGACAGCTGTGGGGAAGAAGCTGTTCCGGTACCTGGAGGTCTTAGTCCGGAGGCTCCTGTAGCGCCTCCCGGAGGGCAGGAGGGTGAAGAGTCCATGTGATGGGTGACTGGGGTCTCTGATGATTTTCCCAGCCCTTTTCAGACACCGCTTCCTGTAGATGTCCTTTATGGCAGGAAGTGGTGCCCCGGCGATGCGCTGGCCAGTTTTCATGACCCTCTGCAACGCCTTCCGGTCCGAGGCAGAGCAGTTCCCGTACCAGACTGTTATACAGTTGGTCAGGATGCTCTCGATGGTGCAACGATAGAAGTTCACCAGGATGTCTGAGGACAGGTGGTTCTTCCTCAGAGTCCTCAAGAAGAAGAGGCGCTGGTGAGCCTTCTTGACCAGCTTGGAGCAGTTGGTCGTCCAGATGAGATCCTCATAGATGTGGACTCCCAGGAACTTGAAGCTACTCACACGCTCCACAGCCGTCCCCTTAATGTGGATGGGTGGATGTGGGTCAGCATTCCTCCTGTAGTCCACGATGAGCTCCTTGGTCTTCTCAGAGTTGAGCTGCAGGTTGTTTGTGTCGCACCACTCAGCCAGACGATCCACCTCCTCCCTGTAGGCGGCCTCATTGTTGTCACTGATGAGGCCAATCACCGTGGTGTCATCTGTAAACTTAATGATGGTGTTGGAACCATCAGCAGGTCTGCAGTCGTGGGTGAAGAGGGAGTGAGTTTGTCATGAGGTTGTTACCTGACCCCCCTGAGAGTTGCCAGGCAAGTCTCGCCAATATGACTTTTGTATTTGAACTCGTCAGTATTATTAGCACAAAGCAAACAGCTCTGTCCAACTGCTAAAAAAGTCAAGAGAAACAGGAGACAATGTTGGTTTAGAAGATTCAGTCAATACAAAGAAATATCAATAACTTTAAGAGTGAAGCTGTCTCACTCCTAGAAAGGATGACCAAGACGCTCCTCTGCTTTAAGGAATAAAAATATTACTCACCATCCTCTCAGATGAGAGCCCACATCAATACTTGCCAGAGTTCAAGTAGCAGACACAACTCAACAGCAACTGTTGGGAGGAGACAGTGTGAAACCTTCATGGTTGAACCACTCCTGAGAAACCACTACTGAGGAAGACCAACAAGAGGAAGACAACTTCTTGAGCCAAGAAAGAAAAGAAGCGGCTGTTCGACCAGTAGACATCTGGACTTGGATACGATGAGTCTACAGTATTATGTCAGACGTTACCTCGTCTCTCTGAGATATAGAGAAGAAAAAAAGCTGGAGAGATGGTTCTGACTGTAAACGAGGAGGAGGTGAGTGTGTTTACTGAGACCTCAAGGCCAGACTAAAAATGTCATTGCTACAAGAACGAATACAACATTCAGGAGTGACGCACCATCCCGTCTAATTTGAGCTTAGTTGATCTAACAGGTTTCAACATCATACAGACGGCATATAAAAGATGCTGCTATCCGGTCGTTAAGTGATGACGTGACGAATCCTACTTCCAGGCCTAAAGTAGTCTGCATTTAATATGGCTTTTGTGTTGTTAACATGTTTAATGTTTTGTATTTTCTTCTATTTAATCTCAAAAAGCTCCTAAAACAGTCAGTGATCACTGTTGACCTCCCTCGGCTTTTATTACCGCTAATCATTTATTTAAGCTCAGTTTTTAAAACCTTAGGATGTAACTACAGCCCAGCCCATGCAGCAGTATATGAATGACTAACCTCGTATTGTGGCTGCATTATCTCAGTTGTTCTCCTGGCTGAAGTTTGGTCCTTTTACAGCATCCTGCCATGCGATTACATTTGTTCCTGACCACCGAGAACACTCACGTTAACTTTTATCGAGTGGAAAAAAAAGTTAGCTTGTTTATATTATGCTAACATAGCTGTGTCGCTAGCGGTCACGTAGCACATCATTTTAAACCAGCTAGCCAAACTTCAGTAACCCTACAAACGTCACTGCTGTTTAGTTTTCAGTCTTCATTTATGTTGGAAGTGATAGCAGAGCTGTACATTTTAATTTGTTTCCAAAACCCCGCAGTCAGGACATGCTATATTGTATTTAGATAGAAGCTAGCGAGCTAACTTTCTGCTAACTTCTAACTCCCCTCCTCTCTGGAGGGGAGAGGGAGGGGAAACAGGAGGACAAAGGAGGGGGGAACAACTAAGCTGTAGTGCCTCTTCACCTCACTGTGCAATACCTTTTGTGCAATACTTTTGTAAATAGTCAACGGTGCAATAGACTCAATACTTGAAATGTGCAATTCACTTGTATTTTTATTTTTATTCCTATTTATTCTATTTATCCCCTTCGTATATTTTATTTATATTGTCTCTGTATTTATATATATATGTGTGTGTGTGTGTGTGTGTGTGTGTGTGTGTGTGTGTGTGTGTGTGTGTGTGTGTGTGTATATACACTCAACAAAAATATAAACACAACACTTTTGTTTTTGCTCCCATTCCTCATGGGATGGACGTAGAGACCTAAAATTCATTCCAGATACACAATATAACCATCCCTCCCAAACAGTGGTCACAAATCAGTCCAAATGTGTGGTAGTGGGCACATCTGCTATATTGAGATAATCCATCCCACCTCACAGGTGTGCCACATCAGGATGCTGATCTGACATCATGAGTAGTGCACAGGTGTACCTCAGACTGCCCACAACAAAAGGCCACCCTGGAATGTGCAGTTTTTTGCGCTATTGGGGGTCTGGGGACCCAGAACCGGTCAGTATCTGGTGTGACCACCATTTGCCTCATGCAGTGCAACACATCGTCGCATGGAGTCTATCAGATTGTCAATTGTGGCCTGTGGAATGTTGGTCCACTCCACTTCAATGGCTGTGCGAGGTTGTTGGATATTTGTGGGAACTGGTACACGCTGTCGTATACGCCGGTCAAGCACATCCCGAACATGCTCAATGGGTGACATATCCGGTGAGTATGCTGGCCATGCAAGAACTGGGACATTCTCAGCTGCCATCTGCCCTGAACAATGTGAACCATGATTCATCCGTGAAGCGCACACCTCTCCAATGTGCCAGACGCCATCGAATGTGAGCATTTGCCCACACAAGTCTGTTACGGCGACGAGCTGGAGTCAGGTCAAGACCCCGATGAGAACGACGGGCATGCAGTTGAGCATCCCTGAGACGGTTTCTGACAGTTTGTGCAGAAATTGTTTGGTTGTGCAAACCAATTGTTCCAGCAGCTGTCTGGGTGGCTGGTCTCAGACGATCTTGGAGGTGAACCTGCTGGATGTGGAGGTCCTGGGCTGGTGTGGTTACACGAGGTCTGCGGTTGTGAGGCCGGTTGGATGTGCTGCCACATTCTCTGAAACGCCTGTGGAGACGGCTTATGGTTGAGAAATGAACATTCAATGCACGGGCGACAGATCTGGTTGACATTCCTGCTGTCAGCATGCCAATTGCACGCTCCCTCATTGCTTGTGGCATCTGTGGCATTTTGCTGTGAGACAAAACTGCACATTCCAGGGTGGCCTTTTGTTGTGGGCAGTCTGAGGTACACCTGTGCACTACTCATGATGTCAGATCAGCATCCTGATGTGGCACACCTGTGAGGTGGGATGGATTATCTCAATATGGCAGATGTGCCCACTACCACACATTTGGACTGATTTGTGACCGCTGTTTGGGAGGGATGGTTATATTGTGTATCTGGAATGAATTTTAGGTCTCTACGTCCATCCCATGGGGAATGGGAGCAAAAACAAAAGTGTTGCGTTTATATTT